GAACTGTGTATACAGTAAACTGTGTCTTTAAACATACCCTTTCCAATGTATTGGCCAAACACTCGGAAACAACAAATACAAATACTGTCATCTATGCTACTTTTTCTATCACTAATAATACATCAGCAGTTACATCATTCGCAATGCACGAACCTCACTATTTGGTAATAACAGTTATCGGCTAAATACAGTTTTACACACACACACACACACACACACACACACACACACACACACACACACACACACACACACACACACACACACACACACACACAATTGCAAGGAAAATGTGAACCCTTTGGGATGACTTGTTTTGGAAAAACTCTGTTTAAACTAATACCACACTAGCATTGAATGTTTTCATGTTTAATGGTTGTTTTCATTGCACACAATATTTAAAGATTCACAAGACAGGGTGGAAAACGTATGTGAACCCCACAGGCAAGGGGTGTTTAACTCTGTTTCTGATTATTCCTGAGGGTTCAGCTGCAACCCTAATCAAACAAAGCTGTCTTTAATAGCCAAAAGCTTCTTTAGATATTGCTTAGTTGGTTTAGCTATGATTGATCAGGTTTGGTGCACTTGCATGAAGCTGGAAAGGGTTACAAAAGTATCTCTAAAAAAATTTGATGTTCAAGTTTCCACAGCAATACAAATGGAGAAAGTTTAGCACTGTTGCTTATCTTGCAAAACATTTGTTTTCCTGTAAAAATGACTGCACAGCTTAGAATACCCGAGAAAGAACAAAAAATCCTAGTGTCAGCTGAAGACATACATAAATCTCTAGCAGAATCAGACAAATCAGAATCAGTTTTATTGCCAAATGTGCTTCACACACACAAGGAATTTGTTTTGGCTATAAGCTTCCAGTGTACATAAAGTGACAACACAAAATAAATATGAAAAAGACAATAAACATTAAACAGAGATGCAGTTAGTCCAAAAATCTGAATGTTGAATTGTATGTACAGATTTGTTATAAATATACAGGTTATAAGGTGCTGTGTACGAATGCGAATGGAGAAAGTATTGTATATTGTTATAAGATGCTGTGTACAAATGCGTATGAGAAAGTATTGCACATGTTTATTGCACAGTTGGGGAATATTTAACAGTTCATGAGGTAGATGGCCTGAGGAAAGAAACTTTTCCTGTCTCTGGCTGTTTTTGTGCTTGGTGCTCTGAAGCTAGGTGCAAGGCGTCCAGAGTGATTTTGCGAGCCCTTTTAGTCACTCTGGAAGAGTAAAGTTTTTGAAGTATAGGAAGAGTAGTGCCAGCGATTCGTTCAACAGTCCAGACTATTCGCTGTAGTCTACAGAGGACGGTTTTGGCAGCTGAGCCAAACCAGACAGTGACAAAAGTGCAGAGGATAGATTGGATGACAGCTGAGTAGAACTAACTCTACAAGCAGCTCCTGTGGTAGGTTAAATTTCCTCAGTTGATGAAGGAAGTATAGTCTATGTGAATGTCCCACTTTAGATCCTGAGAGATGATGGTGCTCAGAAACCTGAAAGACTTTACTGCAGTCACAGTGCTGTCATGATGGTTTGTTGGGGGTGTGCAGGGGGGTATCTCCTAAAGTCCACTATCATCTCCACTGTTTTGACCATGTTCAGCTCCAGGTCGTTGTATCTGCATTATAAAGCTAGTCGCTTCACCTCCTGTCTGTATGCAGACTCATCACTGTTCCTGATGAGGCCAAAAACAGTAGTGTCGTCTGCAAACTTAAGGAGCTTGATGGAGGGGTCTTTACCGGTGTAGTCGTTGGTGTATAGGTAGACATTTAGTACATGGTAACATTTTTGTTGACAAATCTACAATAAGTAAAACATTAAACAATAATGGAGTTCATGGGAAAACACCATGGAGGAAACCACTGCTGGAAAAAAAAAAAAAAAACATTGGATCAAGTTTTTGTGTTTTGTGTGTTTGCAAAAGAGCACTGAGATCAGGGATGGGCAAACCAGTGTCCTGCAGTTTTGCTCCAACCCTAATCAAACACACCTGCCTGTAGCTTTCTTGTGATCTTGAAGACACTGATTAGTCTGTTCAGAAGTGTTTGATTAAAGTTGGAGCAAAACTCTGCAGGGACACCGGTCCTAGGGGAACAAGTTTGCCCATCCCTAACCTTAATGTTCCACAGCAATACTGGCATAATATTCTGTAGACAGAAGAAACCAAAACTGAGTTGTTTGTAAAGAACTCACAATGCTATGTGCACTGTTAAAAATTGTCCCGTTAAAAACTGTAAAATACTGGCAGCTGCAGTTGCCAGCAATGTACTGTTATTTTACACTATGTTGCTGTAAAAATACATGGACTACATTGATATACACAATACTCAAGTGAACTAATTTTGTTCACTGAAAGCAACATCCTCAAATTGGCCAACTACTGAATGAGTTTATGAAGTATTGTGCTATATATGCTTGGAAGCATACTCATAATGATAACTTATTTTAGTTAATTAGAAAAGTTTTATTTAACCCAAATGTCTTATATTTCACAGCAGCACACATACATGTAAATCTGGAATTACCAGAGAGATTCTGACTGCATCAGCAACTAAACAGCCGCTGTCTTTAAAAAAAAGAAACATACAGAATAACATCAGCAGTTCATTGTTCATCTTTAGCTCATACACTGGCTCTATTCTCCTCCACATCGGTGACACACAGAAGAAATTTGCTTCAGGTTAAACAGTAAAATACTGTTTTTTCCTTTATTTAACGGTAAACTACTGGCAGCTGTGGTTGCCAGCAATCTACTGTTTTTTTACAGTCTACTTCCGTAGTTTAAATTAACAGTATATTACTGTTAAAATACATTTTTACACTGTGTTTTTACTTTCACACCTTTAACCCTTTAAACCCCAGAGCATATAATTCAGTTTTAATTGAAGTGTCCACACTACTGAGTGTTCAAGAAATGTAGCAAAGCTAAAGTAAATTAATTAATTAAATGACAAATTAAATGATCATTGAGGATTAGCAGTGAACAAATGAAGAAATGCTGAAGGAAAAAAACAAGAACAAAACATACAAAACTACAATTTAAGTCACAGCTTTGAAATGAAATATCCTGAAGGTCAACAAATGATTAAATCATTTAAATTATCAGTGGATGATTAAACAACTCTACAAACAGCATCACCAGCTACACTTATTACTGAAACATTTATTTTTGTTTAACATCTACTAAAGTTCTTCTTGAGAGAAATGTTAACATTTTACGTCACCATCATGGAGAACAGAGTTTGCTTTAGTTGGGCTCTTAGCCCTGACATTTGTATCATTAATGTAATTTGGCTGCTGCAATTATCTAAAACTTTGTTTAAAAAGCTCTTTTGATGAGGCAAGCCAGCCAAAAACCTATGTAAGATCTGGTGATGTTTATGTTGCTATTAAATAGCAGAAGCTGTTCTAATTATTATATAATTTACTACTCCTATTCAGTGTTTAATCTATTGTTTCACATCATATGTGGCAATGATTTCTGAAAGTTTTAAAGAACATCTTGGACAAAAACACTGCTCTATGATGTAAGTTGCAATCAAACAGACATTAATTATCAGCGTATGAACCTCAATAATGCTGACAACTAACAAAATTAACAGTTGAAATCACAAACAGGCAACTGATAGTCTAAACATAAACAACAACAGAATAAAACGCAAATAAAGAAAACTGTAAGACCATTATACTACATTTATTCATTGCGCAATGCATGCTGGGATATTTGTACTGTGCCACAACCAGCATGCATTGCAGCATGAAACATTTGAATTGTTACCATTGTTGAGGTACAAGGTCTGATTCATGAGGTCTGAGTGTGTCTTTGCCATATAAGAATTGTTTTTGTATGTTACTAATGTACTTAATAATTAAATGAATATCTGCAACGAAACATAAAAACTGTTGCATGAGTGCCTTCATCTAGACCATACCAAAACATTCATGGGAATAATTTTTAGACAACTAGATGTATCTATCTATTGACTTTCCCACTTTATTGCTATAGTACAAACATTTTGTAAACTCTGTATTACAGCAGTTGGAAATTTTAATCAAATGAGTTCAAGGGTGAAGAGCCCAACTAAATCAGCCCCTCGCTCCATTACGGTGACACAAAAACACCTAAATTTCTGTTGGATCTCAATGAGAATAGTATGGACGTCCAAGCAGTCAGTAATAAGTGTGTCTGCTGTTGTTTGTGGAGTTGTTTAATGATCCTCTGCTGAGACTGAAGGTGTTTTATTTTACTTGATTTTATTTAATGTTGTAACTCAAGTCACTGTTTGCGTTTCTTGTTTCTTCAGTAATTGAGATTATTAACAGCAGGTGTTTATCAGTGTCTGAATTCACTCATTAGTTTTCATTAACTCTGTCAGATGAACTATATTGGTGAACTAGTTGATGAAATAGTGAACAAGGGCACAAAATGTGATTTTAAACACAGACTTCAAAACGTCAAATCTGAACTCTGTTCGCTCACAGTTTTCTGCAGTTGGTTACTTTCTCGAAAACAAAAATGTTACCCAGAATGCACTGTTTTTAACAGAATATTACTGTTTTAGTGAAAAAACATTATTTTACCGTAGAATCTGACCGTTTTTTAACAGCAATTTTTTACAGTGTGTGATTCCAAAGTTCATTCATTAATTTTACTTCAGCTCAGTCCCTTTATTCAACAGAAGAAAATACATCTTCTGGAGTGCCCCATGTCAGAGTCCTGACCACAAACTGATTGAGATGCTGTGGCATAACCTCATAAGAAAGGGATCCACACCAGACATCCCAAAAGCATTGCTGAACTAAATCAGTTTTGTAAACAGGAATGGTTCAAAATCCCCCCTGACTGAATTGTTGGCAATCAACCACTATACAGTAGTATATAGTTTTGCTACCTCATATAATACTGTTCTGTACCTGTTATGGTACAACTGAAATGAAGGTACACAATTGTTCTCAAAAAACAAACAAAAAAAAAGTACATACTTGTTGGTCAACTCCTTCTTTATTACAATATATGAAAATAAATATTACAGGAAAGGCAAAGTGATTTTATGAATAATTTCAATATTAAAACGAATCGTCATTTAAAAGCATATGTTTAAAGAAATAATACAAAACATATGTTTAAGTTCTATAATACAAAACAACTGGTAAAACAAAACTATACAGTAGATATTGTAAACTAAACATTTAAGACATTTAATAAACATTTGGTTAGCATTTTCTGATAAATACATTTTCATTATTGATATAATTGGATGATATATTGATATATAAGAAAAGCAGCTGAAATCTCTTCGCCATTGTAAATGAATATTAGCTGCTTCAGTCCAACATCTACATTACTGTACCAGAGGATGAAGATGAAACCAGGATAAACATTTCTGCAACTTCAAGACAATGATGCAAAACACAGCCATGGAAATTCTAAAATGGTTTCAGAGAAAGAAAAACATGCTGTAGAATGGCCCAGCCGAGCCATCCCCCTGACTTAAATCCAATACAAAATAAAAAAACATCTGATTTGATGGATGGGACCCAAAGAACCAACAGCTCTTTTAGAAATATTACTTCCAGAAAAAAAAAAAAAAAATCATGGCATGCTCAATACTTATTTGCCATAGTGTACAGTATATGGACTATTACGATACCAAAAGTAAGTTGTGTTTATAAAGTATAAAGTAAGTCAACATTATCAATTTACACACATTATGAACAGAATTATGTACATTGCAGATGTTCATTGCATGATTTTATGAGATAAGTCCGAGCCGTTTTTTGATTAGGTGAGCCACAAGACGCTGTGGTCTCTGTTGATATTCCATAAGAATATCATGAGGTGTAGAAATCTGATCCCCCTCAAACCGATTCAGAAGAGTCACACACACCACTGCAGCTGCAAAACAAATAAAATAAATAAAAAAAAGTTGATTACTTAATATTTATTAGTAATATTTAAGTAACATTTAATCATTATGATATTAACCACTTTGAAGTAGTTTTGAGGTAATTTGTTTTAAAAGGGTCTAAAGTAATCACACTAATATTGGAATAATGTGTGTATAAAACGATTCTGATCCCAGAAGTCTTGACAGTATAATTAAGCTACCATTTTTAGTTAGGTTTTAAAAACAGTGAATTGCAAACATTAATGTTTTGCTTATTATATAATCTGATTAGAGGTTTTCTCAGGCATATGAAAAAATACAGACTGTGGAATGTATTTTTAACATAAATATTCCGTAGATTGAATTTATAAATGTAAAATGTTAAAAACAGTAGATTACTTGCAATTACAGCTGCCAGTATTTTTATGTAAAAACAAGAAAGAAAGAAAAAATTACAGCAAAACGTTTATTGTGTCACCAGTGTGAAGGATAGTAGCATCTGTGTTCAAGTCCAAGATGAAATGAAAACATCTTATGTTGTGCTGTATCTTCTTTTGTTTAAAGGTAACTGTGTAGTTACTAATGCAGTGAAAATCTGTTTGTTAATTGTAAACACACATGAACACATTAATGCTTTGAATAACTTTACATTTTTGTGCACTAAGCTATGACTTTTTGACACATTGTGTCAATTCATGAAATACAGTCTTTTTCCATAAATTTAAACAGTTCTATAAAACTTAAGTTTTTGTACAGAAAAATTCTGGCAACCACAGCTGCTGGTATTTTTTTGTAAATTTCACAGATATTTTACACTATGAGAGTTTGCTAATTAACAGTCTCTCAGTGTTGAGAATGGTGAACTCTTTTAAAAGTGTTATTTTTAACACTTTTATAGTGGTTCCCATATAAACTTAGGAGTGTTAAATTTAACTCTAAGGTAGTTAAATCTACTATCTAAAATTTGCAGTGTATAGTTGTCTGTCCAGTGTCCTCATAAAATGTGCATAATCTCAGATTTGATCTTAGAGTTTGTGTATGCTTAAATCGATGACAACAGTCATATTTACTTCACATGGTATTTACCACCACATCAACATCTGAGCAGGTATATGCATTTTTTTACATAGCAATATCGTAGTACTGCGGCTGTTTGTATGTACATGCACCAATTTCATCATAAACTACAAAGATGCAGTGCGAGAGATTGACTGTGAAGTCCAATAGTATCTTAAGTCAGACTTAGATTTACAAGCTAAAACTGCCTTTCTCAAACACAATGCACTCAATGCACACAAAGCTGGTGACGTCACTATGAGGGGTGGGGTTAGGGCTGGAGTTAGGTGTGCACATTAAAAGCATTAAATGCAGCTCACCTTGCAACTGCACCAAGTATGCATCCAGACCCCTCTCAAGAAGTCAGATTTCTTTTTGAGATATTAAGCTAACATTTTAATTACTTAATGTAAAGACTTGCATTCTGTGGGCCAAACAATTTATTCCATGTTGTTATTTTTGTATTTGACATAATAATTAGCTGTGTCTTGATTTATTAATGCATAAACTCCAAAATAAAAAAATAAATAAATAAATAATCAAATAAAGAAAATCCAAAATAAATAAACATCTGCCGCTTTTGTGAAAATTATTAGAGACATTTGCATTTTGTCATTTACATCAGTATTTTTTGTTTTACTGTATTCATGACATTAAAGTAGAATTAGATAAATACTATAGTTATTTAAAGAAAATGCTACAGTGTTTTTGAACCATACTATAGTAAAGTACTTTAATCTGTTGTGGCAGTTCTGTAGTTAGAATTGTAAAACAACTATGAACAAATTATATAATTCTCTGTGGTATCCCTCGTTTACTGAAGAAGGGAACAGTAACATTATGTCAGTGCAACATATTGGAGGAATTGCCAGATGTCCAACCACTCCGAAGAGTAAAGCTGCAGTCACATTAGAGTTTGTGTGTGCGATATTCTGTTGTGCGGCGCTGCAAAAAGGGGTGGGATTAAACAAGCTTATTAGACATTTTAAAAAGTGAGCGATTGCTCTATATTATAAATTTCTCTCCAGAGATGTCATGTTTTGATCCTCGATTGGTCTCACGCAGTCGAATAATGTGATTTCACTGGTCAGAGTTGACCAAGCTTGAACTTTGCACCGCAGTGAACTGCGAAACTTAACGCATGACCCTGCATTTTGGTCTGACGCATTTGCGTGCATATGAATGGAAGTCTATGGGGAGAAAAGTCAAGTGTGACTTCAGCTTTAGAAATATGGCAGATGAAGTTCTATGAATTGGAAAGAGCAACTCCTCGTAGGTGTGGCAGATTTTAATCAGCTGAGTATAAAACTCAGTGGTCCTCAACCACCGGGCCATGGACCAGTACCAGTTCATGGATCAATTGGTACTGGGCCGCACAAGAAATTATTAATTATTTCTGTTGTATTTATTATCTGAATAAGAACTATCTTTTATTTTTTTAAAATTGTTTATTTTGAAAAATGACTGTATTCTCTCGCTTACATCTTGAGCACCCAAATTTAACCCACAAACAGACGTCTGTGGAAAGTGTCTTTGCTAAGGAACGAAGACCTAGTGAAGGACCTGTGAACGGCCAATGAATAAATCACAACCCATTTGTCAACAAATCAGGTGAATCCACCATATCTGTGCAAGAAGATCAATTGCTGCAGATCGAAAATGACGGCGGCCTTTTAGGGGTCATTGGCTTATCTTTTCTAGAGTTCGGGCAAGTTGGTTATTTTCAGTGGAAGTGCACGGTTTGCACATTCAAGTGGCATAATGCACTCGCACCTTCTATGCCGTGAGCACACCACAAGTCATGTGACAAGAACTGACCAATCAGCTTCCTACTTAGTATAAAATATGCACATTTCAGTAGACTAATTTTCTCAAACAAACACAGAGCACCCAAACACGGCAGTGCTTTGTAATTTTCTCCTTAAATAAAACTTGTATCGAAGTGACAGCAATGTTTTGTCAGCTTGTCATGCTCTGAAAAAAAACTGTTAACGGTCACCTAGCAACCTAAGACCCATACAATAAGAGAATGGTGAACCAAGCTTACTTTCCTCCTGGTTGCTGGGTAGCACCAGTCAGGTTCCACCAGCTAGCCAAATCTAAAATCTTGTGAATGTGTTGTGTGTCGCACTATCCAGTGACAATGAGCAGTAGACAATGAGCTGCTTAGATAATCTTATAACAACAAAGCAATTAAAGCACTTGTATGCTTACTACCTGTTTTTAAAAGGGATTAGAAGGAACCTTAGGCACACAGCAAAAGTCTCTAAAATTTAGGCTGACCAAAACCAGCAGATGCATGGACTGAATTCTTAAAGTTACTTAGTCAAGTGGCTTGCTGAAGACCTGCTAGAACTACAGAGAGATTCCAAAAGGTAATGAAAGGATTGAGGAACCAGATGATGAGGTTATGCTTCCCAAGCGCGCTGCCATCCACTGCATCATGATGAGTTGAGATGGCATCAAAATAAACCTTCAGTGTTGAGGGTTACAGCCTCTGTTACAGCTTATACTAAAGGAAAGATAACACAACACTGAACTGGCAATTCCGGAACTTTTTATGGCAGAAGTCACCACTAAGCAAAAAAAACTTTAATTTAGGGAGTAAGCATGCCTCAAAGAGGATGCTCTAGCCTGAGTTATGGTGTTAACTACACTGTAAAACCCAACAGTCAAATTTATCAATTGAAAAGAGTGTAGTTACCTCAAAATGTACTGGAAGTTAATTCTACTAATTTGAAAAGAGTTTTGAACAGTGTTGAAGTTAATGAATTAAATAAGTGATTAGGTAAATGTTGATTGAGCATTGATGATGAACACCTTCTGTTATCAAGCATAATTACTGAAGAGAAACACAAAACTAGAGCTGACTTCAGTCACAGACTTAAATGAAATTAAACACATTCAATCTCTTAAAATCTTAATAGAGCACCATTAAACAACACCACAAACAGTATCAACAGCTTCACTTATTACTAACCTGCTGGACTTTGTTTCTGTTATATGTCTACAAAGTCCTTTGTGAGATTCACAGAAAAAAATGTCTTAGACGCCACCATTGATCAGAACAGTAGTTGCTTTTCTAGAGCTCTTTGACTTCATTTGTAGTGTTAGTTTCTCTTTGAATGTTGTAATTTTATGTTTTTACAAGAAAAAAATAAGAAAAAACTGTTATCAGGTTAAATTGCAGAATCATAATTGATGTTGTTATTTAAATTAATTCATAATTAAGTTGATGATATGGTATTGGATATGAAGCATTGAATAAAGTAGATGCTTAATTTACTAAACCTTTTTAAGGGCTTCTAAACAAACATGTGGGAACATTCCCTTCACATCAAAATTAACTAAGAGATGAAGACATCAAGAATCAGAGTATGAGTCTCATTGGTGGTGACACATTTCATGTTGCAGTGCATGCTGGGAGAATGTTTCAACACTCCTTCATAAAGCAAACACAGGCTGCGTCCAAAACCACCTACTACTCAGTAGGTACTGCATTTGAATTTAAATGTACTACTCGGCCATTAGAAAAGTGCGTTCTATACAGTATGAATGTGAAAAGTTTGAATGGAATTCGGAAGTACTACATTCGCCATTTTGTCATGGTCATGTGACTTACCTGCGTCAGTTGCGTCGCTTCACTTCCATTCATGAATTCTTTTGCGAGGCATTATGGGATTGCGTAGTAGCATGCATGGGATGCACTCTAGAATCTTGCCGGAAGTACTAAGTCATCTGGGTACTTCTCGCATAATGATTTTTGAATTCTATGAATTCGGACATACTACTCAGCTCGCATACTGATTTTAGCGTACTATATAGTATGGAACTATGTGGTTTCGGACGCAGCCACAGTTCACATCAGTGGTGATGTCTAAGAAAATTATCATTTTTAAGAGAATTTAAGGAGACATATGACAAAGATAAACTCAAGTAGGTTAGTATTAAATGAAGCTGCTGATACTGTTTCTTGAGTTGTTTAATGATCCTCTGCTGAAATGTTGAAAGATTGAATGTGTTTTATTTTTTTAAGGTTGTGACTCAGCTCTAGTTTTGTGTTTCACATCAGTAATTTAGCCTGTTAATAGCTAGTGTTCATCGTAAATGCTCAATCTTAATCACTTAACTCATTACTTCAACTTAAATGGAGTAAGTCCACAGTACATAGAATTTGTTTTTGAACTCAAATGGTTTGTAGCATTTGGTGTCATCAAAAGGTTTGAGTTGCCTTATTGGGTTTTACAGTACTCAATTGGTTTGAGTTCCCTTAATTTATTGAGTTTTACTATTATCAAATTGCTTTATGTACTCAAATAGATTAAGTTCATATTACTTATTAGAATTAGTTTTTGAACTTAAATGGTTTGTTGCAATCGGTTTCCTTAAATGGTTTGAGTTACCCTAACCTTTTGGGTTTTACAGTGCACCAAAGCCGTTAAGTCACCCAAGTTTTCTCTGGTGCATCTATGAACCACATGTGGAGGTATTTGCGCAGGCCCTGGAGTAATCTGTGAGCCAGCACATCCAAACAGAGGGAGGCCTCAGTCAAAAAATAAAACAACTGACAATGGGCCAGGTAAAGGGAGGAACAAACAGGTCCATCTGGGCTTCTTTGAAGTCCTCACATATCAGCAGAACCACACCAGGGTGGAGTCTCTATTATCCTGAGAGGATCAGCTGCTGCACAGTTGAGGTTACCCAGGATGTGAGCAACATCAGCAGTGATTTCAGACACATGAACTGAGACATGCAGTGGGAGCATATACCACTCATATGGTTGATGGACTGAAGTGGCCTAATATGTAATAGTTTGTGCAGCGTGACAGAGGCTGCAGATGCTATATGCCTCAGGAGCCTCTGAAAAGATTTCAGTTGCACTACTGTTTTTTCTGAGAACAGCCAGGACAGCACCAGGCTGGTGCACTTGGTGGTAAAGTGCGCCATCATGGTGATTGAGTCCAGCTGCATTCTAAGATAAGAGATGCTCTGTTCCCCACTGAATCGCATTGTTGAGTCTGATCATCCAAATGAGTTAACGCGATGGACTGGGCAGCTCTTAACAGGCTCGCAGTGCCTGAACGAGAGGCAACAGAGTGATTGCTGACGGACAAGCGGTGGGAGCCCCAAGAAAGATCTGAAAGTGAGAGATTTGCTCTTACCTTCCTACCAGTATTCTGCAAAGAGGCTGGAGGTGTGATAGAAGGGAGCTCATTCTCTGACACCCTCTGAGCCTGTGGCGAAGTGCACAGAGGTTGTGAGCTGGCAGTCATCACATTCTATGCTGGTAGAGTTCATGCTTTTACACCCGGAGAGATGGAAAAGTGTTATGTTTTTTGAAAATTTGGTTGCCGCTCAGTGGCTGGCCAGTGGCAGGCCAGTGGCAAGGTGTTGTGCAGCAATGGGGCTCCTTGGCTATCCACTGAGGAAAAGCATTTTCCCTCTTATCTGGGTGGCCCATGTCAGGATCACTTCACAGCCGCCCTGGGCTGGGTGGGTTGACTTCCTACGGTGGGCTCGATGCAGCCTCTATGCCAAAGGAAGGGGCTGTGATTGCCCCATCATGTTTGTAAGCACTCTCACCTCCAAGAACTCCTGGGTAAAGTCCCAGCCAGTGACGGCAAACAGGCCTGCCAAGAAAACAAGCTTTGTAGATGTCATGCATATCAGCCAGGTTCAGGGATAGGTGGTATTCTTGGACCACTTGGTGGTCATAAGAGAATAATCGGTCTCTGTGCGAAGCTGAACCATTTACCTGGGGAAGAACCACCCTTGTGAAGCTTGGCCTGCACTTACACTTGGTATTGCTTGTATGTGGTCATTGCATGCAGAGTGGAAACAGCCAGTTGTACAGCAGTGTAGGCGCTGGCCTTAAGTGTTGCAGATAACATACACACTTTGACGAGAGCTTCTGCTGACCCCTACCAGGTAGCAGAACTTTGCGGTCAAAGATTGACTACAATACCATGCTTCTCCTGGAAATTAGCCTCATACCCCTTGGCCACCTCACACCGAGAGAGGTGAGGGCAGAAGCACACAATAACTGGGAGGAGAAAGGCACCCACTATGTCTACATGAGCTCACTGTGCTCACATTGCCCCTCTTATTACCCTCCACATAGTACCCATCTAGTAGGTCTAGTGGATGGACCAGGGGTAATGACACCTCTAGTCCTATCACTGAAGCAGCCCAGGAAAACATTGCCATCATGTTTGATTCAAGGTCAGAGACCGAAATGTGACCCTCCCTTTTCTTACTCTTTAGAGTGATTGGTCAACGGCTATTCCCCCAATATGCCATGCTAACAAAACTTAGTTTCCAAGCTGATAGTGAACTTAAGTATACTTCCATATTTATTACAGTTTAACAGTTATATAGTTTTACAATTACACTGAAAATACTACAGTATACTGTAAAGCATTTATAAACAAATGTTTGTTATTACTATAATATACTATATATGATACCCTTTACAATAGTATGGTTCAAGAACACTATACAATTTATTACAGATTACCATATGTTTATTGTTATTTAACCAGACTTGGAAAAGTTTTTTTTTTTTTTCGTGCTCCTCATTTTCAAGCATATAAGTTTGGTAAAGGACATCTTAATCAAAGCTGGTTGCTGTTCAATGTCTTTATATGGACATGCAAAGTAAAGATTTGTTTTTCTCCCTTTTTTGTGGTATGAAACACAATGGTCAGGCAGTATGACAATCATTTTTTATATATTATATATAAAACGTAAATGTTTGAATAATATTGATTTTATTACCTTTAACAATATTATAATAACACTATTATAATGCTCTCATAATGATTAGGGCACACTCATTTATTTTCAGGCTCTATTAACGTTATGATAATGACAGAATACACTGTAAATATTTAAAGTACCTTTAAGATTGCAGACATGACACATGGCAGCAAAGACACTGGACTCCATCTCAATGTTTCTGACACCTGCTTCACTTGCTTTCCGCAGATATTCAAATTTTTCTTCAGTAGAAAATGAGCACAGGGCTCCATCCAGGCGCCCCTGACCTAAAACAGGAAAAAGAGGTTATGCATGTCTCTAGATGGAATAAACAAAATTTTAAAGTGCAATCTTCAAAAGCAGATTCTGATTTATCATGCTTGTGGTTGATAAGGTGCAAAATGCAATGCTTTAAATACAGTTTTAAAGCTCGTGCTTAACAAGTCTGATAGTAGTGTTAATAGTTGGCATTTTAGTAGCACAATGATATGTATAAAATGAACACACATTTCACTAAAACTAAACACTATGTGGGGTAAAAACGTCTACAGCCAACTACCCGTCTCACAGCCAAATTTGAAATTTTATGCATTTGACAAAGCATTTCATCCTATGTTAATAGTATTGGCTAACACATTGAATTAATACTAAACAAACAAACAAAATAATAAACATAAGTGAATGAAAAAATTACCTTCGTAGAAATCATGCGTGCACATTGTGTTTGCAATTACAGTGGGCATATCTGTAAGCTCAGATGAATACTGCAGTAGTTCTTGGGCTATATCCACATCAAGCTCTGTGCTCCTGGTGATTACCTTTCCCAAAACCACCTGCTCAAACTGTGGCCTGAAGAATGAGTCCACAGCTTTATCTGTGATCACTATTGTACCTGCAGCCAAGCCTGTGTAGTCAAAGAAAAGGCTTAAATCCCCTTTCTCCAGAATTACAGAGCAGTAAACCTTTTTTTTCTTCAAACAATACTAGGCTCTTATATGTAATGGCTTAGAATTGATCATTAAACATTTTTAGAGTGATGTATTTTTGGTTTACATGTCTGTGATACAAGAAGTGCTTACCAATTCCACCTGATGTGCCAATGCGAAAGATGATGACATCACGACAGCGAGCATGATAGAGCAATTTAATGAGCTCATGCAGCATGATGGAGATGGAGGGAACACCCATGCCATGCTATCAGAAATACATACCAGAAAATACATCAGTGATGATGCAAGTAAAAAAAGAAAGTGATTCTATTCCATTTTTTAATAAGATGTAAGATTATTATTATTATTTTAAAGAAATCAAGTAGCATTCAATCAGTATTGTTTTTTTTTTTTTAAACTACTCATCTTTCTTTGCCCATTATTTATTTATTTTAAAGAAAGGTGAGTAGTGCGTGACCATACAAACTGTACTTCCACAACGCTACATTTGTGGGAGCAGTTTGTTATTGGCTCAGGTTAAGAGACCAAGGAAAATTTCCAGTTCTTTAAAAATATTAGTGATATGGCATGAAGTTGCATGATGTCTATTCAAGTCTGTCACATAATTTAAAAAAACAAATAGTTTAAATATATTCAAACCTCATCCATATGTTATACACTTACACTTATGGAAAGCACAGGTCCCACTTTATACATCGAGTATCTGTCTGTTCCTTCACAGATATCTTTAATGTCTGCTGTGTTACTGGGCATCTCCAGCTGCTCATGTATATATTCAGCAAAAGTTCTCATTCTATTGGGACTTCCACCAACACAAACAAACTATGGAAAATGACAGAAAGATAAGTATGTTTTTATAATATATGATAATATTTAACTTTTGTTAATTTAGGAAAATTGAGTTTGTATATAACTTTAAATCTGCTTTTAGCTGGCAGACACACCTTTACATCGCCAAACATCTGGGGCAGGTCATGGGTCTTGGTGCTCAGGCTGAAATGGTACAAGATGTCCTCTTCCATGCCATCCAGATGAGGATTATTCACATACTTCGCCTGTCTATGACACATTAAACAAGTTACTGTTATAATAGACAGTGAAAAACAAATCTGTTATACATTGAATGTTAACATAAACTGTTAATGCTTATGGAAGGTTAGAACACATAGGAACTGTATTTTACCAAAAAAGAGCTATTTTATACAAAACATTTTTTTAAAATATTTCAGTAAATGGTGAGTTTTAGAAATAAAAGTCGAGATCAAGTTTTTCTTACCGAATATAATTGTTGTGCTTATTTCCAGTGTTGTTTATTAAAATAAGTGCCATGATTCTTCTCAAAAAAAAAATTGTTTACAGAGATATCAATAAAAATATATGCAGAATTAGAAAAGTATTTTTAGAAAAAAAACAATCCTTTTGATATATCCTACTGATTTTCTCTCTTTACAGACCTCTGACTTCTACAGACTTTCTACACACACACAAACACACACATATAAATATATTTATATTTATTTTTTCCTCTATCTAAGACAAGCTTTTATATAGAGCTCAGAAGGCATTGATTGGTTATTGTGGGAGGTGTAACACCTGCTCCTTCTGTTTCCACCTGGTTACTGATCTCTATTTGAAATGTTGATAAATAGACTACAGACTATAGCACTGTGCTAACATTACCTCTGAACACAGACACGTTTGATGTACGTAGTTTGTGCAAGTGTATGTGTTTTTGTTGATCTATATATGTTATCCAGGTTATTTTTTACACTGCTTCATCTACTCAAAACCATAAAAAAATAATATTTTAGTTTTGTAGCTTAATAAACATATGTATAAACAAATTCATATTCAGGTATGTTAATTATTAAGTATAATTGTTCTATGTTGACTGTACCAGTGTTTGAGCAATTATGTAACCCGATCAATGAAGATGACAAAACTCAATGGTTAAATAAATATTGTTCACGTTTTAGGTTTATTTAATAAAATATTAACATTCTGTAGACCGTCTGCCAGGCCATCTGTGCTCCGTAAAACAGATTTAGAATATTATATCGGTCTTTAAAATTTGACATCATAATTGTTATGAGTAATAAAATGTTTATTTTTATGTATGTTAAAAAGATATTAAGATTGTACTTGGGCTGTATGAGTTAAGAAAAAAAAATATAAGTTTAAAAAAATTAAATAAAATACATATGTAGGTTTTCCAATCACACTATGAGAGAGAAGAAAATCTTTATTTATTGAAGCAATGCTTTTGATAAATTTAGTAAATTTTTGTTTTATTTTATTTTTGTTAAATAAAGTAAAAACAATCACACGCACGCACGCACACACGCACCCACACACACACACACAAACACATACACACACACATACACATGCACACACACACACACTATTCTAAGCTTCATAGACCTTTATTTGCATATAGCACAGGACAGAACTCATCGTTCATAGATTACACATTCAATCAAAGCAGAACAACATACTGTAGAAAACAGGATTTTACGCACACTGTGTAGGCTACCACACATACAGTAATAAAAAATTGCAGTGAAACATTGAATTTTACAGTGCATTGGCTTCATTAGAATTTTATATTTTGTTATTTTACCTACACTTTGTGTAAACATTTTAAAGATGTAAAACCATAAATCAAACGAATGTAAAGTATGATGTAATTTCATTATACATTTAGATTTGTTTGTACATTAAATCAACAGTGACAGATGTTTTATGTTTGATATAATGTTGTGATTATAATGAAAAATATTCATTGGCCTATACATCTTGACCTGAACCAATATGTTGACCTGTATCTTAAATTATCAGCCCTGATGTAAATTTGTGGCTGATGCTTTGTTGAAATGAATTAAAATATACTTATGTAAAGCATAAAACATTTTTTTTAATCCATGCAGTATGTATTGCAGCACCAGAAGAGGGTGCCAGAGACTAATGCAGCTTAATGAAAGTCAATCACAGTCAGAGATATACTTTCTGTGATTTTGACAGTGCCGGATTAAAAGCATAACAAATGACTAAAGAAGTTGATCACACCACAAAGTATCACAGTGCTATTGTATCCCTTTGCTGTACTCTCTTGTTGTCCTTGCTGTAATGATTTTTGGTGGCTCTGGACTGATGACTGCATAAAGACAACTCAACTTAAGGGCTATCATGTAAAATGAAATCACAATTTAATCAGGAGTTTTAGGGCCTCCACTTAAAATTTTTGGGTGTGTCTGTGGGATGGCCTGTTGCATGAGGTTTGGCCTCTACTGTGTTCCCAGACTGCACAATGGTGGGAACTTTGGGAGCGCAGCTCTGAGATTGGCTCTATTTTTAAACACTACATCCACAATCTGTCAAGGCCTGTTCCACAGAGTCCTGCCACCAGCAGTCTTTCCAAGCCATGGAATTCAACCCAGGACAACTCTCCATATGTGATGAAAAACATCTGGACTGAGCTGCAGAGACAAGGTGGACCGCTTTCACTAACATATTTCTGTAAAATTAATATTATTTAAAAAAAAATAAATAAATAAATCCATAGGGTTTAAACATCTGATTTTTGGGTAATGGCAAAGTATCACAATGTAAACTCAAATTAGTAAGCAGAACTAAAAAAAATAATAAAAATAAAAAAAAACTCTGTATGTATCATGTAATCAAAATATTTAAGTTTTAAGAAATTTAATTTTTAGTTCATGAACTTAAAAATTAAATACTCATTCATTCATTCATTCATTTTCTTTTCGGCTTATTGCCTTTAATAATCCGGGGTCACCACAGCAGAATGAACCGCCTACCTATCCAGCACTTTTTTTACACAGCGGATGCCCTTCCAGCTGCAACCCATCTCTGGGAAACATCCACACACACTCATTCACACTTATTTACTACGGACAATTTTGCTTAAATATTTTAAATATTTATAAACTTATTATATTATTATAAATATTTAAACTTAAATATTTTGATTGAATGCTACATAGACCTTTTCACTACATTTAAAATAAAACTTGTTATAAAATCAACTTAAATAATTTAGTTACAGTGACTTAAACTATTGCTTACCCATTGTCATGGCATTAAGTTACCATTACTCAAAAAAGTGCACAAATAACCACTTTTAAGTTCAATGAACTCAATATTTATTAGTATCTTGGTCTTTTTGTTTTAAGTTCAAGTAACTCAAAATATTTAAAACATAATACTCAAAGTTGTATGCCTCAAAAGCACCTTTTTTAAGGGTAACTCATCTCAAATGATTTTAAATAGTTTAAATTAAATGCATTATTGTGTTCATGTGTGATTGTAAATAACAAACAGATTTTCAATGTACTATTAACTATACAGTTACATTTAAATAAAAGAAGATGCAGATAACATCACATACTCTCAGTTCATCTTGGACTTGCACACAGACCCTACTATCCTGCACAATGGCAACACAATGCTTTTACAGTATTTTACAGGGTTTTTTCTCTTCTTGATTTTACAAAGAAACTACTGGTAGCTGTATTTTCTAGTAATCTACTGTTTTAAATGTAACATTTTGCATTCATAAATTTACAGAATATTCCATTAAAAATACATTCCACAGTATGTATTTTTTATCAAACACATTTCTCTCAAGATCTCAGCAGAGGACCATAAAACAACTTCACAAGCATCAGGATTTTCACCCATTATTAACCTTTGCCTTTGTTTCTGTCAAATGTGAACAAATGCTCTTAATTAAATTGTTGTTGTTTGTTTGAAGTCACCATAGTGGAGGTCAGCATCTAATTTAGTTAGGCTCATCACTTTCTTTTCTCACTTTTTCTTTATATATTTGTGAAACAATCGCCACACACACGTTGAAACAACAAATTATTAAAGTTAAATTATACTCTTAAGTGGCACTTAAATGAGCAAGCTCATTTAGGTGCATAAATGAGCAAGTTGTTTCAGTTAGTCAAATATAATATGTTTAATTCACTTGAAAACTATTAAAAAGTCACACAAACTCAAACTATTTGAGTTAGTAGAACTGTTTTAGAAAATTAAGTTTATGCAACTCAATTAATTTAATTATTTTGAGCATTTGGGTTTACAGTGACAAACCATTCTAAATTATTTTGAAGATGCATTGTACATCTAATCTGAATTTGATTTTAAATGAAATTTTTATTCAGAAAAAGTAAGAGAAAAAACAATAATATTGTGGACATTTTTAAAATCTCACTATTTGAAAGATTATGCCAATGCTAAAAACAGATAAATGTCTAACCAGGGAATACATATGGGTCACTGCATGTAATCCGTTATATATATGAGCAATATCACATGAGTAGCAGTGCAATATGGCTGTCTATCAGCACTGGTGGGAGGCGTGCGTTGGCACAAGGTTGCAGGCCGAGTGACTTAGCATCCCAACAGCGCTGATATACAGCCATATCACACTGCTATGAGTGTGATATTGCGTTTATACAACAGTTCCACGGCAAATCATGTATATAAAAAGGAAAATCAAACACAGAGAGTGTAAAACCCTTAGTATGACAAACTACTTTCTTCCGCCATTCATTCACATCTGCAGCTGACGTCAGAACAGCAGAAGTCGTTATTAATTCACGGTCACTTTAGAGTTAGCGTTTAAATGACTCTCTGTAGCGTAATGTCTAGTGATGATGACAAAACTGCTGATTTTGCTTACATTTTAAAATTATAAGGCTGAACGTGACATGAAATACCCTTCGTCTACAGAGATATCTCCATACAGTCCATTACAGTCTACAGTAGTTCTCTGTTGCCGTCGATATTGTGACGGGTGCCAGCTGTTTACCCAGAGACAGGAATGAAAAAAAGGAGACAGAAACTATTTCGCTCTTCATATTACCTACTACATATTACCTTTATGCGTTTCTCCCAAGTGCTGTCAACTACATACATGCCAGTCAACGCCAATGAGTAGACAAAAGGAAAATAAAAAGACACTCAAACTTCCCTCACAAAATAAAATGTTACATTATTGAAATAAAAGAATGATACAGCGGTAGAGCGACCTGAACTTTTTACTTGAGTAAAAGTACAGATACTTTACTGTAAAAATTACTCCATTACAAGTTACAAGTCACTAATTCCAATAAGACTTGAGTAAAAGTATAAAAGTATCCATTTTTAAGAGCTTTAGTATTTTACTCATACTGAATGTACAGTAGGCTCAAAGAACACCCAAGAAAGGTTTTATTTCCTTGAATATAAAAATTCAATTGAACACCTCAATGTTTCATAATGGCAGAACAAAATATATTTAAAATAATAGAACAAAAAGTCAGCGGTGCAGTGGCACAGTAGGTAGTGCTGTCGCCTCACAGCAAGAAGGTCGCTGGTTCGAACCTCAGCTCAGTTGGCATTTCTGTGTGAAGTTTGCATGTTCTTCCTGCGTTTGCGTGGGTTTCCTCCGGGTGCTTTGGTTTCCATCGCAGTCCAAAGACATGCGGTACAGGTAAATTGGGTAA